CTGCAGCAGCACCAGTTGCTGCTGCAGCAGCGTCTGCTGCAGCAGCACCTGGTGCTGCTGCAGCACTCTCTCCTGCAGCAGCACCTGATGCTGCTGCAGCAGTGTGTGCTGCAGCAGCAACTGGTGCTGCTGCAGGAGTGTCTGCTGCAGCAGCAACTGATGCTGCTGCAGCAGTGTGTGCTGCAGCAGCAACTGGTGCTGCTGCAGGAGTGTGTGCTGCAGCAGCAACTGATGCTGCTGCAGCAGTGTGTGCTGCAGCAGCAACTGGTGCTGCTGCAGGAGTGTGTGCTGCAGCAGCAACTGATGCTGCTGCAGCAGTGTGTGCTGCAGCAGCAACTGGTACTGCTGTAGCAGCAACAGCAAACCCCTTTTTACGAGAAGTCCAAATGCAAAAGTTTACTTTTCGAAGAATGCAAAACAAAGAAAATAAAACTTTTGCATTATTTTCCAAAAATGCAAAAGTTTAATGGAGTTTTAAAAGGACTTCTTCGAAAAATATCTTTTTAAAAAGTCAAACTTTTGCATTTTTGGAAAACCCCTTTCAAAGTTTTTTGTTTTTTGTCTTTTCCAAAAAAATAAATAAAACTTTTAATCTTCAAATTCCAATTAATTAACAACTCTCCCAAAAAGGCGAAGCAAAACCGCCGAACTTCAAACGATATAAAGTTTTTGAACTTTTTGAAAATTAAAGTTTCAAGTAAAGTTTTTGAATGTTTTGAAAATTAAAATGTTTCAAATAATGTTCTTGAACATTTAAAATGTTTCAAATAATGTTTTTTAAAATAAAAAGTGTTTCAAATAAAATTTTTGAATATTTTGAAAATTAAAATGTTTCAAGTAATGTTTTTGAAAGTAAAAAATGTTTCAAGTCTTTTCTTTTCTTTTCTCTTCTTTTTCTATTCTTTTCTTTTCTTTTTTTTTTCTTTTCTTCTTCCTTTCTTTTCTTTTTCTTTTTCTTCTTTTCTTTTTTTTGTCTTCTTTGAAGACTTTTCAGCGCAGAGTTTGGACTTTTGCAAAACTAAAAACCAATTGGGCAAAGTTTGGCAAAAAGATTTTAAAAAAAAGCAAATGGCACTTTATTGGAAAATAAAGTGTTGTTTAATAATAGCTGCTGCTGCTGCAGCAAAGGCGCTGCAGCACAGGTGACCCAACAGCTGCTGCTGCTGCTAATTAGTGTTTCCTAATAGCTGCTGCTGCTGCTAATTAGTGTTTCCCAATAGCTGCTGCTGCTGCTAATTAGTGTTTCCTAATTGCTGCTGCTGCTGCTGCTGCTGCTGCTGCAGTTAATTATTGTTTCCTAATAGCTGCTGCTGCTGCTGCTGCTGCAGCTAATTATTGTTTCCTAATAGCTGCTGCTGCTGCTGCTAATTACTGTTTCCTAATTGCTGCTGCTGCTGCAGCACTCCAAATATATAAGTTGCTTCCTAGGGGCCTCAAGGCTTCGCCCAAATGGCCCAATGTTCGACTTCTTGGGGCTTTCTAATATCCAAAAAGTTTCTTTTAAAACTTTAAATTAAAAATTAATTAAATTCGAATAATTTAAATAAAAGAAATAAAAGAAAATAGTCCAGAGTGCACTTAGTTGCAGAAAAGTCTCACCAAAATTGCTGCAGCAACTTTGCAAAGTTGCTGCAGCAATTTTGCTGCAGCAATTTTGCTGCTTTCATTCTGAATTATTTCTCAAGTTTGGACTCTTTTCATTAAGTAGAAAAATAAATTAACTTTGAGCAATTTCAAAGAAAGTCCAGAAGAAGAAAAGGAAACAAAACCCCTTTTTGGGGTTTATTAATAAGAAAACAAAACCCCTTTTTGGGGCTTACTAATTGGAAAATAAAACCCTTTTTTGGGGTTTATTAATGAGACTTTATTACAAACCTTCTGCAGCTAATTCATTTTCTAAGAAATGCTGCAGCAGATCTTTCTTATTCTGTTGTCTTTAATAAAAGATCTTTTCCAACTTTTGCATGCAAAGCTTTTTGGGAAAGATGCGCAGCTCGGAAGAGCCTTTGCTGCCTTTAAAGGCCAGCTTTCATTGAAAAGCTGCTGCTGCTGCTGCTGCAGCAGCAGCAAAACGTTGCAGGAACGGCAGCAGCAGCTAAGCAACAGGCTGCAGGATGAAGGGCTCCCCAAGACAGGGAGGCAGCAGAGAAACTCGCGAGCTTTGGAGCTGCTGCTGCTGCTCTGCTGCTGCTCTGCTGCTGCTGCTCCGCTGCAGCAGCCCGGGGGCTTTAATGCAAGCAAAGGCCTGGGGCTGCTGCAGCGCAGCAAAGCGCGCAGCAGCAGCAGCAGCTAGCCACGAAGGCCACAGTCTCAGCAGCAGCGCGTGGCCCTCGCAGGGCCCGCGGGATAGCTAGCTAGCTAAAAGTTCATCTAAAGAAATACATTTGTCTTTAGTTTTTAAGTAGACATGTCTGCAAGTCCAGCACACAAAACCCAGCCAAAGAGGGGCAGATCTCGAGGCCCCAGGCCTAAACCCCGGAAGCCTGAGGCCCTCCCTAGCTGCTGCTGCTGCTGCACTTTAGCTGCTGCAGCTTTGCTGCAGCAAAGCGCGAACTCTGGGGCCTCCGCGCCGCTGGAAGCCGTGCTGCGCTGCAGCAGCAGCAGCAGCACGGCGGCCGCAGCAGCCCCGCAGCTGCGCTACTTCGAAGGCGAGCTCTGAAATGCAGGCCTTTTATTTGCTGCCTCACTTGCATGCAAATAAACTCCACTTCGTCTTGCCCCTGCTGCTGCTGCTGCCCCGCTGCAGCAGCTGCGCTGCGGCGCAGCCTGCTGCTGCCGCAGCAGCAGCAGGGCCCGCAGGCGACTCGTGCTTCTGTTTCCTAACAATAAAACTTGTCCATTTAAATCTTTTTATCTTTTAAAACCTTTATTTTGCTGCTGCAGGCTGCTAAGCTGCTGCGGCGCCGGCGCCTGGCACCGGCGCACGGCCAGGAAGCAGCACACGAGGCAGCAGTCTTGAATGCTTTGCTGCTTTTGCCCTGTGTGTTTATTTATCCAGTTTTAAAATGATTTAAAAACTTGTTTTTTGTTTTCTCGTGGCTTTTGAATGGGCTATTAAGGGGTGTCTGCTGCTAAACCCATGCAAGGTAGCGGCAGCCGTTTGCAGGGTAACGACGGCTGCTGCTGCTGCTGCTGCTGCTGCTGCTGCAGCCCTTGCTGCCACCCTCGCCGCTGCAGCAGCAGCCTCCAAGTGGCTGCTGCAGCAGTTGTCGCAGCAGCTAACGTGACGCACTTAAGTAAATAACGCTGCAACAAGCACCTCCTATAGAAGCTGGTTGTTGCTGCTGCAGCAGCACAGCAGTAGCACCCCTCATTCTGCTGCCTCTTGTCGCGGTGCCACCCCCAGCCCCAGGGCTGCAGCAGCAGCTTCTCTGGAGCCGCGGCCGAGTGCTATTAAATATAAAGAAGGTTTTGCTGCAGCACCAACTGCATGAGTGCAGCTGCAGCAGCACCAGCAGCAACACACAGCGCCGCGAGCTGCTGCTGCTCCGGCAGCCGCAGTGGAGGCACCTGTAGCAGCAGCAGCAGCAGCAGCAGCAGACTCTCTTTCCTGCAGCTGTTTCAACTTATCTCGTTTTTCTTTTGGCTGGATCTTTCTTCCTAACGCCGGGTTCCTCTAGAGAGACGCGGCGGCAGCAGGCGCAGCAGCAGCAGCTGCTGCTGCTGCATAGGACACCGTGCCACAGCAGCACCAAAGTAAGTTGAGTCTCCCCGCCCCTCCACTTCTTGCAGTTAGTCTCTGGGGCCCCTTGGCCGCGCCCGGGGTTCTCTTCTATCTGCTGCTGCTGCTGCTTCGGCTGCTGCTGCTGCCGCTGCTGCTGCAGCTGCTGCACTGTACGTACACCACATGCACTATTGCTGTTGCTGCTGCTGAACACCAAAGGGTCTCAACCCGCCGCTGTGTCTGTATTGGCTGTGCATTTGATGCAGTCCAATGCAGCAACAATTGACGCTGCTGCAGCAGCAGCAGCAGAAGGCGCTCGTGCCAGAGGCAGCAGCAGCAGCAGCAGCAGCAGCTAGCCGAACACCAAGTAGCGACAGCAACGGTCAAGGGGCTCCCTTTGCGTCTCTGTACCGCGCAGCAGAGGAGCAGCAGCAGGAAGGCGTAGCAGCAGCAGCAGCAGCGGGGGACCCTATGCAGCTGCAGCTCGACGGTGTATGTACACCGGAGCCTTCTCCAGCAGCAGCAGCAGCAGCAGCAACCACTCCAACTCCTGCTGCTGCTCCCACAGCAGCAGATTCAGCTGTGCAGGCAGCGGCCTTTGCGTCGGCGAAATCCATAAAGGAGGAGCAGCTGCAGGGGCAGCTGCAGCAGCAGCAGCTGCAGGAGCAGCTGGAACAGCAGCAGCAGCTGCAGCAGCAGCAGCTGCAGCAGCAGCAGCTGCAGCAGCAGCAGCTGCAGCCCCAACTGCACCATCTGCCGACCTTGCATGATGTCGGCGGCGCCGCAGACCAGCTGCCGCTGGACCACCAGCTGCAGCAGCAGCAGCTGCAGCAGCAGCAGCTGCAGCAGCAGCTGGAGCAGCAGCAGCTGCAGCAGCAGCAGCTCCACCAGCTGCAGCTGCAGCAGCTCGAGCAGCAGCAGCACGACATGGTCTCCATGTATCAAGTTGCTGGGGGCGTGGACGTCTCTTCGGCGCTGCTGCTGCAGCAGCAGCTGCTGCTGCAGCAGCTGCTGCCCCCCCCGCCCCACCCGCAGCAGCTGGACCAGCAGCAGCAGCAAGACCTCGAGCAGCAGCAGCAGCGAACGGCGCTGCCCAAAGTTGTGGGCGTCCGCTTTGACAAAGTAAACAAAACTTGGAGGGCCAGTTGGTGAGAGCTTGCTGCTGCTGCTGCTGCTGCTGCTGCTGCTGCTCGTTTATTTGCTGTGGGTGGATTCGCTGCCTCTGCTGCTGCTAGGTTCGCCGGTGCAGCAGCTGCAAGATTTGCTGCTGCCGTTACTGCTGCGGCACTTGCTGCTGCTGCTGCTATGCGTGGCTGCTACAGTTCGTTGTGTAGCACCGGGGGTTATCTGCTGCTGCATCTACTGCTGCATTTGCTGCTGCTGCTGCTGCTGCTGCTGCTGCAGGTATGACCCCCAAACGAAGCGGCGGGTGGAGCGGAAGTTCTCTGTAAACAAATTGGGTTTTTACCAGGCCTACAGGCTGGCTACAGGCAAGTGCTGCTGCTGCTGCTGCTGCTGCTGCTGCTGCTGACTACTCTGCAACAGGAGTGCGGGAGCGAGCGCTGCTTCCTTGCCACTGCTGCTGCTGCTGCTGCTGGTGCTGCTGTTAGCGGTCCAGCAGCCCAGCGTCAGGCGTTGCTGCTGCTGACGCGCTGCTGCTGCTGCTGCGTGTGGGGTTGCTGCTGCTGCTGCAGAGTGCCGGCAGCAGCAGGAGCAGCAGCTGGGGCTGCGGGACCGCAGCCTGCGGCGGACTCCAGCAGCAAGAAGTTTGGGGCCTTCGGACTTCGCCGTAAAACAAGAAACTCCCAGAACAGTGGTGGGCTTTTTAATTAATTAATGAATTTAATTAGATAATTAATTAATTTAATTAATTAAACTAATTAATTAATTAATTTGATTTGTTTTGGCGTTTGTTTTGTTTGTTTATTTGCTGTTTTTGTCTTGGCGTTTTTTGCTGCTGCTGTCGTTCTTTCTTTTGCTTCTGCCTTTTGCTGTTTGTCTTTTTGATTTATTTCTTTATTTTTAATTTCTTTTAATTTCTTTTAATTTCTTCTTGTTTATTTCCTTTTATTTATTCTTATTTGTTTTTGCGTATTTTTATTTCTTTTATTTCTTTTTAATTTCTTTTTATCTGTTTTTATATATCTTTTACGCTGCTGCTTCATTTCCATTTCGCTGCCTCGCTGCCGCGGCTGACTTCCTGTGAAGCAGTTGTCTCCGTTTAGCAGCAGCAGCAGCAGCAGCAGCAGCAGCAGCAGCCACAGCAGCAGCAGCAGCAGCAGCAGCAGTAGTGTGTGTGGGGCTTCTCAGGACAGCGCGCGTTCCGCAGTGGAAGGCGTGTCGGGTGCAGCGGAGGCAGCA